AAGCAGCACGTTGTCCTCTTTAGTATATATGCCCCAACTCTCCAAGCTGACCCTGCTGAAAAAGATAAATTTTACATCGACCTGCGCCGCCTTACCCAGAAGATTCCTGCAGATGATAAGATCATTGTCCTTGGTGATTTCAACACCAGAGTAGGAAAGAATTTTGAAGCCTGGAAAGGAGTATTAGGCAAGCATGGTGTTGGAAGTTGCAACGATAATGGTCGACTTCTGCTAGAATTCTGTGCGGAACAACAGCTCACCATCACTAATACTATCTTTCAGCAGAAAAATAATCTGAAGACAACATGGATGCATCCCAGATTCAAACATTGGCACCTCATCGATTATGTCTTGGTGTGATGGAGAGATGTCCACGATGTCCACCACACCCATGTGATGCCCAATGCAGAATGCCAAACAGACCATGACTGGTGCACTGTAAACTTAACCTCAGTCTTAAACTCAAACCTAAAAGGGGCAGTATCCCAAGGAGGAGACTCCAAGTTAACAATCTCCAGTCAGCCATAGTGAGAAACAAAGTCCAGGCTAATCTTCAAACTAGGCTTGATAACCATTCCACAGATTCTACAGATCCCTCTCCTGTAACGCTCTGGCACCAAATTAAAAATAGCATCCTGCAGTCCTCTGAAGAAACCTTAGGGTTCTCCCTCAAGAAGAACAAGGACTGGTTCAATGAAAACAATCAAGAGATCCAGGAATTATTGAGGAAGAAGAGAACCACCCACCAAGCACACCTTGTACTGCCTTCCTGTCACGTAAGAAAAGCAGCCTTTCCTCTTGCATGCAGCAAGCTCCAACAGAAACTCCGTGACATCCAGAACAAGTGATGGATCAGTCTAGCTGAAAAAACACAATTATGCGCAGATATGGGTGATCACAGAGGATTCTACGAAGCCCTGAAAACAGCATATGGGCCTACATACCAAGCTCAAAGTCCTCTTGAAGTGTTGGTCAAACGCTTCTGACAGATAAAACCTCCATTCTGAATTGATGGTCTGAACACTTTCAGACTCTTTTCAGTACCAACCGTGTAGTCCAAGACACAGCTATTCACTCCATCACACAACAACCGGTGAAGTATGACCTGGATACTCCCCCCACTTTAGGAGAAACCCTTAAGGCCATTCAGCAGGTGAAAATCGGCAAGGCAGCTGGGGTTGATGGAATTCCACCTGAAGTCTGGAAACATGGGGGCCTTGCACTCCATGTTAAATTTCACGAGTTTGTACTATGCTGTTGGGAACTAGGCTAACTACCATCAGACCTTCGTGATGCAGTCATCCTCACCTTATATAAGAAGAAAGGAATTAAATCAGACTGTTCAAATTACCGTGGTATCACTATCCTCTCCATTGCTGGCAAAATCCTGGCAAGAATACTCTTAAACAGACTAATACCCACTATAGCAGAAGGAATTCTACCTGAAAGCCAATGTGGTTTCAGAGCCAACAGGAGTACCACAGGCATCGTGTTTGTTCTCAGACAACTGCAAGAGAAGTGTAGGGAACAGAACAAAGGTCTCTATGTAACCTTTGTTGACCTCACCAAGGCTTTCAATACTGTGAGCAGGAAAGGTCTATGGCAGATTTTGGAACACTTAGGTTGTCCCCTCAAGCTCCTTAAAATGATCATCTCACTCCATGAGGATCAACACAGCCAAGTCAGATATGGCAACACACTTTCTGAGCCCTTTCTAATAACCAATGGTGTGAAACAAGGCTGCGTTCTCGCTCCTACCCTATTCACAGTCTTTTTCAGCATGATGCTCCAAAGGGCCACGGCAGACCTCGATGATCAGGACGGTATCTACATTCGATATCGTACTGATGGAAGCCTTTTCAACTTAAGGCAACTGAAGGCCCATATTAAGACCTTAAACCTGCTTTATGCTGATGATGTCACCCTTGTCGCTCACACAGAAGCAGCTCTGGAGCGTTTAACATCCTGCTTTGCAGACGCTGCTGAGCTCTTTGGGCTGGAAGTCAGCTTAAAGAAGGCAGAAGTTCTCTATCAACCTGCACCTCAGGAAGTCTTCCATCATCCCCATATCACCATTGGCCAATCAGAGCTCAAATCAGTCCAGCAGTTTAATTACCTAGGTAGCCTCATCTCCTCAGATGGTAAGATTGACGGGGAGATAGACAACAGGTTAGCAAAGGCATACAGTGCCTTCGAAAAGCTTCATAAAAGAGTTTGTTGAAATAAACACTTGAAGAAAAGTACAAAGATCAGTGTTTACAGAGCCATAGTGCTGTCTACTCTCTTATAGGGATCTGAATTGTGGGTCATCTACCGCCACCACCTGCATGTCCCAGAACACTTCCATCAATGCTCCCTTCGTACAATCCTAAACATCCACTGTTCAGATTATGTGACTAATACGTCTGTTCTAGAACAAGCAGCAATCACAAGTATTGAGGCCATGTTGATGAGAACACAGCTGCGTTGGGCAGGACACGTCTCAAGGATGAAGGACCACTGCCTCCCTAAGATCTTGCTTTATGGTGAACTTGCCACTGGCTGCCGCAAGAGAGGAGCCCCGAAGAGAAGATACAAGGACTCCCTGAAACAACATCTCAGCCTTGGCCATATTGATCAACAAAACTGGTCTACTCTGGCCTCCAATCAGGAGGTCTGGAGACACACCATCTATAACACTGCTGATGCTTTTGAGAACGCACACAGGATGACTCTCGAGGAGAAAAGACAACGCAGAAAGAATTGTGCCCTGCAGAACATACCACCTAAGGAGTCTTTCTGCTGTGCCTTTTGCAAGCGGTCGTGCCTATCTCATATTTGCCTTTTTAGCCACCAGCGCGCTTGTAACAAACGTGGGTAGAGCCCTTTCCAAATCTTCATTCGCAAAGCCCAGCCATGATGATGGTGATGATATTACTTAAAGAGCTAACTGTCACTTTGCTATTTACCTTCAAACAGACAGGAAAGAAGCCTGTCATTTGGAGGAAGAAGTTGTGGGTTCCTGGTCCTATTATTTATAGCTATGAAAATAATTGGTGTCTGCCACTGCTTATACACCAGAGTGTATTTGTCCAACACACAGGTTTAGTTACATGGGTTGCACATTGCTGTTCTGACCTCTTTTGAGTAACAAAGCAAATGCGCCACATATTCCTTGATCTCTAGTATGATAAGGATACAAAAGTACCACATACTCTTCCCACACATATACTACAGACATACATTTTCCTTTGCATGACTTGGAAGGTTACACTAATGTCCACAAACTTAAGAATTCAGAGGGCATATTTAAGCCTAAAACACTTATAAGGGCCTGAGTATAGGTCACCATCCCTACGAAGGAAGATTAAGGGCTGAGAATGTCTAATGGGGACACCTCAAAATTTCACACCAAAAATCCCTTCATACTTTAAGTACCTCCAAATACAGATTTGCCCATTCTTCGTGGTCAAAGATGTATTTCTTCTAGAGCTCTATCGTAAAAATCCTCCTGTTTCAAACCACTGCTGCATTTCTACATAAAATCTAAATTCTGTCACCCAAATTCCATGTTTGCTCTAGCTTCCTACAGATCAAAGCCCCAGATGATACTTTTTACTCAACAGTCCTGATCCCCTTGAACATCACCCTATTTGAAGTCTCCACTCATACTCACTACTGATTTCTCATTGATTGCTAAACCTTGCATATAACATCATCTCCTCACTCGGTCTCCTCATGACAGCTATGCTAACCAGAAACCTTCTCATGTGTAATTTACAGTCTAGGGGGAAAAAAAGGGAAAAAAAGGATGTGTCAGGAATAAACATATATATGAAAGCTTACCAGATTCACTCTACTATTAATAGAACCCTCATTTTGGCTTGTTCTTCAAAATATGTCATTCTATCCAGGGACATTGTCATCTCTTCTTAGTCTAAACAGGTTTCAAGCAATAAAACATTTCAGTTAACAACTTTTCTCTCTATTTTTAATCATAAACATGTCTGCATGGTCTAGTTTATTTCTGAAAAGTCAGTATCTTTTTATCAATATTTTAAAAAAAACTTAATATCCTTTCTGTTATTGCACCAACAAATATAAACCTGGGAAGGAATTGCATTAGAAACATTACCTAGCTAGGTCTAAAATTTGTGCAACTTATCCTGTCATGTTTATCACACAACAGGCAGCAGAACAAAAAGAACCAAAAAAGGGGAGTGTGGACAAATGGCATAATGTCTGACTCTTCATGTAAAACCTTATGAATTTGTACTTTACTGAAACCTAGTTCTTAGTCATATTACCAAACATTGGTGCATGTTATTTCCACAGTTAACCAGACAAAGGATAAACCCCTTTTCAATCATGTCCTGGTGTCGAAGGCATTGAGTAGGTAACATGGGCAGCTCAAGGAAGTTGAGCTAAGAAGGTGAAAATTAAATCAAAGAAGAAAAAATTCTCCAATTTTATATTTGAAGCTCCTCTGCGGACACTAAGATTGGGCATGACCTTGGTCTTGCATCACTGCTGGCAGAAACAGGGTGTCCATCAGCTTTGCCTACCCTCAGCAAGGGGTAATGTATTGTGCGAAGGGGTCCTGTTTTATTACTGAGTTCTGGTTTAATGTTCTTACCATACCATGAGCTAAACATTATGACTTCTTCTTACCTACCTTTCTGTTCATACACTGGTGCTATAATGGTTTTGGCTGTGTTTTGTTCTGTGCCACTAGCGCCTGAGCCATAGAGAAAAACTTAATGTTTTGCATTTAATGACTGTCAGACATTGAAATTTTTGAGTTTAGTGTATCAGGAAACAATAAAAAAAAGGTCTTTAAAAGCTCTTTAAAAATAAAGGAACTGATAGCACCCCTCAAAACATAATTACTGGATTTGAAAAAGTGGTTGCTAATAAATATTTGTTAAAAAGGGAGAATTATTTTGATTTTCTTTCTTTTTTTTAGAAGATGTCTTGTTCCAAGTAGAAAAGGCATTATTTAGAGTAGCACAGAGAAGATATATGAAGATACATGAAGGTCTATTGTCATTTGTTGCTATATATTTATGAATTAGTCTGGTGAGTTGCCACGTGGTTAATGTCTTTCACTTTTTAGGTTTCTGTTTTTTTCTTCTTTTCTTTTTTACATTCCTTCACTTTACAACATTCCTGAGTCATTCTTTATACTAAAAGCTTTCTTCTTCCACCATCCCCTGCTTTCCAACTTCTACCCAATCCCAATAGTCTCTGCAGATAACATAGAACCAAACATTGCTTTTCCTTTCAAGTCTTATAGTTCTGATGCAGATGTGTAGCCTTATTGTTGTTTCAGTGCTGATCACCAAAGCTATCCAGTCATGGTGGGTTCAAGAACTTGTAGCACTGTAGCTCCATGACGGTATCCAGGGATTAATGCTGCAGCTGTAAATACCTGCAGAGGTACAACAGGAAACACTTTAGTTGCTCCTGTTTTTTGAGATCCTCTGTTCTGAGGACTGTGGCTATGTATAAGTACAATCTGCTGCTACCAAGCTTGCAATTTACTCTTCCCTTCTTCTGTCTATTTTGTCCAAGGCAGGATCTGGTTCTGATCCTACCTCATGTAATAAATTAAGCCAAGGCAGAGAGATAGGAGAAGCACATGTGATAATTCCAGCAGCCACTGTTTTAAAACTGCAGTAGTTGCAGTTGGAAGTTCCAAATGTAATAGGACAAAATGTCAGCTCTTTAAGTGCTTTATTGGCACAAGTATTTCCTTTACTACAGAAATGAGAACTCCCATTCAACAGAGAGTATGGCATTGACTTGAATTGTCATTCAGTAGCCTTCATATATGAATAACAAAAATGAACTGGCGACTGAAGAAAAGCTGGTACATATCTTTCCTGAATCCCTCCATGTCATAAAGCTTTCAACCAAATCTTTCTTCCTGTTATCTATCAATATATAATAACACCTTAAGAGAACTTTTCAACACCTAATTCCAGCTTCTAGGGAGCATATAAAGTCATCTCTGTGTATTTTCTTGAAAATATGGATGAACGGTTCCTAAGAATCCCACTACCAAAGTGAACTTTCTTTGATATGTTGCCCACCTTAGGTTTTGAAAAAAAAGCATCTCAGAAGAGTTTTTGCCCATCGCATGTAAAGATAAAGGAGGTGATAATCCTCTAGACAGCAAGTGATTAAACAGCAGTTATTGATAAATAACTTAAATAGCAGATGATTCACAGCCTTCCTAAATTATATTGATTTTCTTTCATTATTTAATACAGTTTAGGTCTGGTTTTATATCACCTCAGCTTTAGGAAAAAATGTTAATATAAAAATAATTCAGTTGGTCAACAAAAGTATTAAAACTTTCTTGTGACAACATTTAAAGTCCATAAATATTCTAAAATTCAAACATAAAAGTTGATATAATGGATATCTAACTAGATGTTTGGTAATTATGGTATATGGCTATTACATATATATTCACTACCTTATAAATACAATGGTGACACAAAATTTCCATGAGTATATTATTTTTGGTCAGTCATTTTTGCTATTTGATCATAGTTTTATACAATCAATAAGATCCTTTAAAAGAGCACTGCTACCTGAAGGCTGAAGGACAAGGGAATAAGATGTCATAGGTAATTCTAAGTAACTCTTGAAGATCCAGAAACTCTCAAGACCCTGCAGATGAAAACTACTACGTATGCTATTGCCATATTTATTTCTAGGTTTTAGATCAGTGGGCTAAACTGATCTATAAGATCTATTTTAACTGGATTGTTAAAAGTAATGTTAATAGAAAAAGAAAAGCTCAATAAAAGCGAGGAATTTGGAAAGTAAGGTGAAGTTTGGGTGGAGGGTGATACTTGAATGAATTTGTAAACTGATTTTTCAGATTTGATATTGGTTTGCAACAATTTGCAAATTCATTGAGTCTGCAAAACTTGGAAAACTATTCTCACAGTAAGAAGTTTTATTTACAATAAGCAAGGATGCCGCATTACATCACAAGAAGCTAACAGACCCACTGCATGCATTCAAGCAGCCATTAGACAATTTCATGCATCAGCTTTCAGCTGATCACATGATTATCTTTTCTTTGGTACATTCAAGTGCTTTCTGACACACTCAGTATGAGCTACAGTATTATGGACAATATATGGAAGACAAGGAAAAAAATCTTCCTTTAGTTTTGTTCCAAGGAAGTGTGTCAGCCACTACTGCACTTCTGGGGGGCCTAACAAGTCAGGGCCTGAGTAAGAAGGACTCTATTAGAACTACAGTATTCCTAAATGTTAAAAGAATGCAAGATTTTTGTCACCCAAGGCATTTCATCCTAGAAAAATGGTCAATATCCAGAGTTCAGGCATCTCTCTTTTACAGGAACTAAGTCAATCCTTTTTTGTCCTTTGCTTCGAAAAATTCTTCCCTTTTTACACTATTTCTGTTAAAATGTCTCTTTTTCTATTTCTGCATTTCTATTCAATAGCGGTAAATTTCTATTTCTAAGGTTAGTTTTTTTCTCTTTTATGTCTCCTGGCTGTGTACTCTTTCTTACGGGTTTGAAATAAATCAGTCATGTCAAACAATACTGTACGGGTGACAGCACCTGCCTCCCCGCTCTTCCGTTTCTGCAGACTCCTCTTCATAACTATATCAACCGTGCCTTTGGGTGAAGCATGGTCTTAAAAACCAAGACACATCATACTACCGCCTATCTGTTTTAGTGATGCAATGTGATCATATTCACGCTCTACCAACGGTAATCAGCTCTAAAAGGCAACACTAAACTGAATCTGTTTCACCTTTGATCAGCGAATAGTGTTTAGGTGAGAGAAGATTCAGGCCTCCGTCCTGGTTTCAGACAAGGACAGGGTTAATTTCTTGCAGTAGCAGTGAAGGGGCAGAGCCTAGAGCCATGTGGGCATGGCCAAGACCCTAATGTTATTGATACCATCTCATGTTATTTGCCAGGGATGGGGGAAAGTGACTCTCCCTCTCACTTCCAAGAAGAAGGGCATTCCTTCTGGAGGGAGAAGGTGTGGCAGGCGACATGGTCGGTACTGTCGCGGACTTTCTGTGTAAATCATTTCTTTGTCTTATACCATTTGTTATTAATATTGTTGCTGCTACTGTTCCTTTTCTTATCTCATTGCTGTTTCCAGTAAATTCTTCTTATCTCAACCAGTTATCTTTGCCTTTTTTGCTTTCAGTTGGAGGGGGCAAAGGAAGTGAGTAGCGGCATAGTTTCGGTGGGAGTACTATATTGGAGAATAGCATTCCTAAACCATGACAGCCTAATGTCTGTCCCCACAACTACCCACTGAACCACTTCCAGATTAAAAACACCTTCCAGAGTAATCAGGAGGCTTCTCATCCATTGCTTTATCAAATTGAGAAACAATGATTAAAAGCAGAAAGCACACTGACTCAGTCATAAACTATACTGAAGAAGTATAATGAGTAAGCTGCCTACACCCAGGTAAAGTTAAAAACTTCTCAGAGTTATCAAGTTTTTAAAATTTTGATTGCCTTCTAGGATGAAACAATTACCTGGATGGATGAAGGGAGAGCAGTGGATGTTGTCTACCTTGACTTTAGCAAGGCTTTCAACACTATCTCTCACAGCATTCTCATAGGCAAATTCAGGACTGGCTGAGCAGACAGTGAGGTGGATTGAGAACTGACTCAAGGGCAGACCCCAGAGGGTTGTGATCAGTGGCACAGAGCCTATTTAGAGGCCTGTCACTGGTGGGGTTCCCCAAGGATCAGTAGTGGACCCAGTGTTGTTTAACTTGTTAATCAATGACTTGGATGAGGGGATAGAGTGCCTCCTCAGCAAGTTTACTGATGCTAAAAAACTGGGAGAAGTAGCCAATACCTCAGAGGACTGTGTGGCCCTTCACACGGACCTTGGCAGGTTGTGCACCTGGGGAGGACTAACACCACTCACCAGTACAGGCTGGTGGCTGACCTGCTGTAAAGCTCTACGGAGAAGGATCTGGGTTTCCTGGGGGACAACAAGCTGTCCATGTGCCAGCAGTGTGTCCTTGGGGCCAAGAAGACCAATGGTACCCTGGGGTGCACTAGGAAGAGCATCGCCAGCAAGTCATGGGAGGTGATCCTGCCTATCTACTCAGTCCTGCTGAGGCCACATCTGGAGTGCTGTGTCCAGTTCTGGGCTCCACGGGACAAGAGACATATGGATCTCCTGGAGCAGGTGCAGGTGAGAGCTGCAAAGTTGATCAAGATACCGGAGCACCTCTCTTATGAGGACAGACTGAGGGAATTGGGGCTGTTCAGCATTGAGAAGAGACAAGTGAGACAGGACCTCATCAATGTATGGAAGTATATGAAGGAAGGGTGTCAGAGGATGGACTCAGACTCTTTTTGATAGTGCCAATCAATAAAACAGGCAATGTGCAGAAACTGATGCACGGGAAGTTCCATCTCAACATGAAGAAGAACTTCTTTACTTTGCAAGTGACTGTGCGCTGGAACAGGTTGTCCAGAGAGATTGTGGAGACTCTCTCACTGGAGATATTGCATCTGGATGAATGCTCTAGGATGACCCTGCTTGAGCAGGGAGGTTGGACCAGATGACCCACTGTGGTCCCTCCTAACCTTACCCGTTCTGTGATTATGTAAAAATAAATTCAAGGCAGGTTTCCTTACAGTTTTAAAGCTCTTGGATATCTGTAACATCCTTACCTAGTTTTGTTCCACAGGAAGAAGATGAAGACCTGTGGAACATAATTCCAGAAAAGATCACCAAATCTACAATTGTGATGATCATATTGCCTTCTCCTTCTTTTATATCACAAACCTTATATATCACTCAGTTTCACAAAAACCCCACGGTTTTAATTAGACCAAAGTGTTTCAGAATAAACTCTGTGCTACAGACTGAGAAGTGGAGATCAAGGCATTAGTAATTCCAAAAGATCCTTTGATGTTAGAAAACTGACGAAGTGAGAGCTGCTCTGATGACTCCCAAAAGCTGAACCACATCCTATGTTACAGAGGAAGTTGAAAACACCTTTCCGCTCCGCACAGATGCACACACACACCAGCATCTAAAACCCTGTCAATCTAAATCAGCTTAGACCTTAATCAGACATTCAGCCCAATCTTCAACCTTGATGCAAAACACAGCCTCCAAGAACTAAAGAAAGTAGTTTTTGCTAACTTGAGGCAAAGTTCTGGGCAACCTATGTCTAGTTGTATGAGGAAGGACAGGAAAAAGAAAGAGGACGCCCACCTCAGAGTACAGTTTGCTAATTACAGCTGGATAGATCCCCGAGAGTTCCCCCTCTGTTTTGCAGATACAACAGGTGGTATATTTGAAGCCTCAACACTTCTAGATTCTGGTAAGGACAAAGACTACGGATAAGTTTGCATTATAGGGTAGAGAGATCTGAGCTAGTTCAGGATAAGGCTAAGACTGGAAGCAGCATAGCCACATCAGCATAACTGTGCTAGCCAAAGCATAATTCAGTGCAGCAATGATGCGTCTGCACTGCTTCCAGGACCCAGGGTATCATTTCTGCATTGTGCAGATGTGTAGATCTACCACCTCATCTGGAGCTAGCCTGAAAATCTTAAAAAGAATTCTGCACTCTGAGGCAGTTCACCCCACATACATGCTTCCTATTGTTTCAGGACACGCAAGGGAGAATTTTTAGACGTTAAGCGCATTCAACATTTGGCAATGTAGAATCTCCTTTGCCTTATTAAAAACCACTGCACTGTAAAAACCTTCTTGACAACAGCTACTCGCTGAATATTTTCTAACACTTATGAGGCAGGACCTGCCCCTGTCCATTTCTAAGAAATCTCAAAGACCCATTTGCATCCAATATTGCTGTGTATTCAATACCAGAAGCATAGCAGCAATCCTTCAAATAGGCAATGTCTCTTCTTTAGAAACAGTCTTAGGAAAATACTTAGCTCTTGTGTGTTTCAATTATTGTCCTTGTAGTTCTTTTTTAGTGTATACATTTTAAGCATGAGCTCTAGTATCTTTTGTTTTGCATCACAGCTATTCATTTTTCACCTATATCTTTTTATACATGAGAACTGACTCAACTAGTACCCACCTGCTCTCCTCAGAAAACCTATTCATCTGTCCTACTCATTGGTCATTTAAAACAAATTAAAACACAGAGAGTAAAGCCACATTAACTTACTTCCTTCCTTGATCCCTTGAGGAAAGGCCTTTCCAGCACTGACCGTGTCTTATTTGACTGACTTTTGTGCTTTTGATTGGTCCTTGGATACAGCAGTGAGATGATATTTCCTGTGCTGTAGAGTGTAATAAGAGCAGCAGATTTTACTCTGAGCCATGAGCTGAACAAGGGAGGAAATTGGAGTGCCTTGCAGTAATTAATCATTGTACGATGAGACCTGTCAAAACCCTTTCTAGACCTGATATTGCTGTCAATAACCAGCTAGTACATCGCCATCTGTGACTGTTTAAAATATCAGTCTATACTACAATCAACATATTTTTCACTTACACATCTTTTTTATTTACCAAATATAATTCTCCTAAGTACTATATGTGCTCCAGTGTTTGCCAGATGACAGCACTGCTGGTGTCAATATCTAAACTAAATGTTTTCGCCCTTAGTAAGTATCCAACAAATCCCCTGTGCTGTAAAATAAAGTACCAGCTAAATTACATTTGTATCTAGTCTAAATTCCAGTGGTAAGAAAAATTTATTACCAAACATTTGTACTCTGGATATTGGCTTACGGTTGAATAAGAAAAAAGAGAAATATCTCAGAATAGTTTCATGTCATACTGGAAGTTCAAATAAATAATAGCTGCCAGATTCTCAGCTGATATGAAAGAAAGGAACTCAACTGTAACTATAGAAAATTATGTTGCTTTACATCAGGTGAGAATCTTGCCCAAACAACCAAGAAAATCTGAACCTAAATTTTATGTTTTCTAAATTTTATATTTTAGTTCACTAATTGAAAGCAGCAGCAGCACTGGCTTCATCTAAAAACTACTAACTTGCTCTTTCTTTTATCAAATGTCTGTGTGCTTTGTGGAATAAGCCAAGTTTTGAGGTAAGGCTCAATTTACCTCTAATAATGTCTTATTTAACAATAAAAAAAAATTGAAGTTACTTTTCCTCTAACTCAGTGCTTGCATACAGCCTGTGAAACATTATTCTGTTGCCTGCAGCCCGAGAAAATTAAAATGTTCAAATAGAGGTTAAAAAGGAAGGTAAAGGACTGCCCACAGTCAATTATTTATGTGGTGCGTCTTTTCAGACATTTCTGTGTTTCACATGCTGATAACTTAATATTTTGTTTCTTCCAGATCCCCCTGCAAGGGAACTAACTCTTCACGGACACTTTGTGAGGAACTTACTTGACTAACTCAGTCATACTCCAAGATCCAGGCTACATACTTAATGGATAGGCATTGTGCATTCTTTTGTGTTTTGTCTGTAGAGCCCTACAGAAACCAAGCTCTCTCCATTCACCTCCAAAGTTTTGAATGCAGTTATCCTCTTTAATATTAAGAATATGCAATACACAGGTAGCTCTTGAGCAACTGAGTTCTTCTCCTTGATGTCACAGGAAGATGCAAAACATCAGTTATGGGACACTCTAAGGGGGGAAGGAACACAGAAGTCCTAGGACATCTGGGGGACAAAGCAAGGAGGCCACAAGAGGAGGCTGTGAGTGATAAAATATCAGTTGAAGAGCCCTGTCCTGGAAGATGGGTGTGGGAGACATTGCCAGCAGTTTCTGTCTGTAGAAAAGTATGCAGACTGAAACACCTCTTGGGTTTGCCTCCAGTAGTCAGCAAGCACAGCTTTGCTGCTTCCCCTGTCTCTCCTAAGCTCATTCTTTGTAAATGTCCAGAAAATAAAAATGAATGTTCCTTGTGGTCTGAATGTGATGAGAGCAACAAAATCCGTAACCTTGACATACAGCAGGTCCTTGGTGTTCTACTCCTTAACTGACCACAGTACATCCCATGATTTGCTTGCACTCAGATAACTGACATAAACAGATTATTCTGCTGTAGTAACCTACCCTGTTCATTAACTATCTCTTCAACCTTTTCCACCATCAGAAATGGTGGAAACACAGCAATTCTCAATATCTGGTCACCAATAAAAAAAAAGAAAAAAAGCTCTTTCACTGTGTACCATGTTAATTTTGCATCACTGTTCTTTGAACCAAAATGGTGTATATAACTGTATATGTCATGTCTTACGGAAACCTAGGTATCTTGTATCAACACAATTCCATTTTGCAACCAAAGTAGTAATCTCACACAAAAGAAAGTTATTATGACAAAATCTACTTTCCATATGCTTATGTGGATTGGCATTCATTCCATTTTCTTTCTTATATTCTTTGGTAGCAAAGTCCCATATCAGTAACTCTATAATTTGTCCTGGGATCAATGTCATGCTGACAGCCCTATAATTATGTGAGTTGGCTCATTTAGTCCTTTAAGCACTGGCATGGTGTTATTGTTCTTCTAGTCCTCTGGAATGTCTTTAGTGTTCATAGGGATATTTCAAATCAACATCCTGATACACACAAGTAGAATACACGCTGGCTTACCACTCACCAATAATTCACTTCTTTAATCCATTTTACAGAAATTTCCAGCCAATGAGAATCTTGGACAACTTTGTGTGACTGCACTTTTTTGCCTAAGTTGCAGCTTCTAAATAAAAAATTTAACTTTAACAATGTCATCAATGAAGTGAGAAAAAAACTTCAAAACTTTTTTCTTCTGCCTTTTTATTAAAAAATATTTCAGATGGCTCCGCCTTAAAGCACATGGGATGTGTTTTCCTATATATATGTTTGTGTATGTATGTGTGTTTATAGATTCATAAATTAACATATCAAATTAAAATAACCAATTACATGAAAAATTATTTGTGGTTAGGATAATATTGGCCATGTCTATACTAAAAAGTGGTTTAGTGCAATAGGAGGAGTCAGTAATTCAAAATAGTTGCTGTTGTCACTCCTACCTCTAAATGTTTTTTCAGTCAGTGTCTCACTCTGTTAGTGTCTCACTGTGTACCCAGCTTGGTTTGGTCCCCTGGGCTGACTGTCCTTACCATCCTTACCATGTGAGTGGTTCTTAGCTATCTGGAGGACAAGTCACAGCTGTGGATGTTTATATGCTTACTACAGGTTAGAGTTGCATTTCATAGAATCATAGAATCATAGAATCATAGAATCAGCCGGGTTGGAAAGGACCTCTGAGATCATCAAGTCCAACCCTTGATCGACTACCACCATGGTTATTAGACCATGGCACTAAGTGCCATATCCAGTCTCATCTCAAAAACCTCCAGGGATAGAGAATCCACCACTTCCCTGGGCAGCCCATTCCAATGCCTGATTACCCTCTCTGTAAAGAATTTCTTCCTAATATCCAACCTAAACCTTCCCTGGTACAGCTTAACACCATGCCCTCTTGTCTTACGGATAGCTGCCTGGGAGAAGAGACCAACCCTCACCTGGCTACAATCTCTTGTCAAGGAGCTGTAGAGAGTGATGAGGTCTCCCCTGAGCTTCCTCTTTTCCAGGCTAAACAACCCCAGCTCCCTCAGCCTCTCCTCATAGGACTTGTGCTCGAGTCCCTTCACCAGCCTTGTTGCTCTTCTCTGGACCTGCTCCAGTACCTCAATATCCTTCCTGAACTGAGGGGCTCAGAGTTGGACACAGTACTTCAGGTGTGACCTCACCAGTGCTGAGTACAGGGGAAGAATCACTTCTCTGGTCCTGCTGGCCACACTGTTCCTGATACAGGCCAGGATGCCATTGACCTTCTTGGCCACTTGGGCACACTGCTGGTTCATGTCCAGCTTCCCGTCAGTCCAAACTCTGTTGTTGGTATGCAACAAGAGCAGAACTTTTTTCCTCTGTTAGAAATCCAGTGCAACTGCTATACAAATCCAAATCAATCTGCAGCAAATGCCTTGGCCAGGAAATTTGTTTCCAAGCAGCAGTGCTGTTCTCAACCAAAGTGCAAATGTACACACAATTATTGACAGTATTTTGTCATATTGAAAGCACAGAGTATTTCAGTTAGTTTGTTTCCTTTATTTTAACTGATATTTTAGAATACTTTTTTCACTAATGATGTATATGATGTTCCACCAAAGGTGAGAATTACATCTACTGTGTATCTATCAATGTCATTAATTTATTGAAGAAAAAGATAAGTTTAGTTTCTCACAGTTTAACAAACATTTTTAGGTATTAGTTATATCATCGTGGCTGGGCTTCACAAACGATTTACTTAACATAAAACCAGGCTGAATCTAAACCAGATGCCACAACTGAGCTACTGTAAAGAGGGTGCTGAGAGAGATTTAATTCTACCCATGTCAAGCATTTAGATCAATATATGGCTGTATGAGTTATTCCAACTATACATGGTACAGATTATCACTTCAGTAGCTGAAAAAGGCAGCTGACTCTTTCTCAGTCTTAAAACTAAAAACTGTAATCTTACATATGTCTTGGGCAGAAAGCAAATGTCATAAGGAACTTATAAGTGATATACAATATGATCATCTTTTTCTGAATATCACAGAGCAGTATGAACATCTTCCTTCATGTGGCACTATTTCTTTACTGTATATCAGATCTGACAGAATGGCTTGATAAGGTTCTATGCACATAACAGAGATATGACTAGTGTGTCTAGGGGCTGCTGCTCTGCCTCTGTGACCATGACATAATACCATGTTTATATTTGTTATATATTGCAAAGCTTACTCAGTAAATTGTAGTTTCTAAAGGCTTGAGTATGACCCTCTGTTACTTCAACCACTGCAATGTGTAACATTTCAGTTACTACCTCATCATAATCTAAAATTTTTTTGTTAAGGTTTTTTGCTAATGCTAGTTCATATTCCATTGCTTCTACAACTTGACTGTGCTAAGAAACCTGCTTTCAATTTCTGGTTTACATTAATTCATGGTCGGTTCATAGCCCTTGGCCATACTTGGATGGGACCCTGAGCAACCTGGTCTAGTGACAAGTGTCCCTGTCTACGGCAGATGATCTTTAAGGTCCCTTCCAAGACAGACTATTCTATGATTTTGTGATTCTATGATTTTTCCTTGGAATCAGTTGTTCTGCCCATATCCCTCACATTTTTCTACAGCATATTGGAAGATATAAGCAATTATAACTGTACATAGTTTTCTCTTTGCTACAATGAATGAAGAAAGCCTTTAAAGTAACCAGTTGACCAGCAAGCATTTGAGAAACAGGTAAAACCATTTTTTCATTCATTCTTAAGAATCTCTTATTCTTTGTCCCAAAGCTCTGTAAGTTCAAAGAAAAAGTATACTTTAAGTGAAGAATTATTATAATAATTTTTAAATTATTTGAATATGCCTTAGACATACTTAACATATAATATATTTCCTCTGAAGACCTCCAAGGAATTAAAAATTCACTAATTAAGTACTGTAACATCCTTGAGAGGCATATACCATAATTATCTCCATTTTACAGATGGAGCAAGTGAAGCACACAAAAGCTAAGTGATTTGTCCAAACTAACACATACCACTGGAGTGTAGCCAGGAGAGATACCCATGCTTTCTAATTTCCACTGAAACAATAGATTATGCTACACACGCCAGCCCCCAAAGGCAGGTTGTTACTGTTTCTTCACCAGAAATTGTTGGTTTCCTTATTGAAAACAAGATGCAAAACTTTGCCTTAGTTCAGATTGTCTAGTAGCTTCCAAACAGTCTAAAAATGTATTAACATACAAAAAATTATAAAGGGCTGTACTCAATGAAAGACTGAGTTGGAAAAGATACCCAAACACTCTTACTCAATGACAGCCTTCAGTCTTGTACTTGGCTAACTGCATATCTGTTCATTCAGAATTCAGGTATCTTCCTTCATATGACAAAATCATGTCTGATGAGGTAATAGAAGACTGCATATACATCAGGTCATATCCATAGAAGATGCTCAAATGACCCTTTGACTAATCACACATGCATCCATTACAATGATAGGGAATATCTTCATTTTGGATAGCATCCTGGTATGGGTCCAATCATATGAGAGGGCAGCAGCTATAATCTCTGATTATATCCAGGAAAAGCTGTGTGGCTTACTCAAGTAAAAATTTTTGTTGCCTACTAGTAGTATTTTATAAGGGTCTGGAAACCTGAGAAATGTCTGTATTCTTTTTCATATATCATACTTTATCCAACATAAAATAAAATTTTCAGAGCTAGCACTGAAATTTAAGAGCCTTGCTGTTTCCTTTCCCCTCTTTCCTGCATTACCCAATTACTACTGGGTTATTCTCCTCTCTTGCATATTCTCTTTCTAACCTCTGACTTTGTTACTTTAGGATACAGCATCAAAAGGAGAGTAACACATCTGTCTCAATCTTCCCTAATAATGTATGCGCTAGAAGGAGCTAAAAGACACTTTTTAGAGAAGCACAATATGAAACAACTGGTTTGAATCACTCAAGGAGAGAAGGACATT